AAGGAGGAAGAGTAACTTAAAATTTGAATATTCAATAGATCGGGAAGTTGAGATGATTTGTGAATATGAAAGATGAATGGTTTTGGTTTTGCTGCCGTTTTACCTGGCGATATGTACGGAAGGTTCGTAGNGTATTTTTCCAAGTATAATTCTTTGTTTTTGACTGCTTGAGAATTTGGTGACGACATTTTCTCGAGAGGGATGATTGTTAAGACTCTAGTGAAGTTCCAACATACATAGTGGATTAAGGAGGAAGAGTAACTTAAAATTTGAATATTCAATAGATCGGGAAGTTGAGATGATTTGTGAATATGAAAGATGAATGGTTTTGGTTTTGTTGCCGTTTTACCTGGCGATATGTACGGAAGGTTCGTAGATCGTATCTCGTACCGAGTAGGGGGGCTGTTTGTGTATGTACTCGGCAGGATACAGTTCTCCGAGATATCCGAGGGGGTACGCAGATATGATAGGTTTGGGTATATGCAGACGTGTGTGCAGCAGCAGGTCCTTCTTGCCTGCTGCTCATGCTTGTCACTCGTTAATAGTTAATCAAGGAACTTGAGTCACTCCTTTGTGCAACACGCTCTCGACAAGAGCCCGCGAGCGTGATAACATAAAACACGCGCCGACACCCCAAACAGAGCTCGTACCTGTTCATTGCCGCTCTGCACGAGAACAGAACGCATCACATGCCCGGTACACCGTGCGTGCTTTTTGTAAGTACTGATTGATTGATGTGTTGNGATGTGTTTGGCGTTTTTTCATCGCATATGCATCACCTCCGCCCTCCCGCGCTGCTGGGCACACCTGCTGTGCTGTGCTCCGCTCTCCGTGTATCTCCACATCAGTCAAATATGTCCCCTGACGTTCTTTCGGGCACAAGACGGCTAGTCGTACTTCTTCATCGCAGACTGCTGTGTTAGCGATTAGAGGACAGAGGATAGGTCTATCGTCGTATCGTCAACGCCAATTAACCGCGTGTTTCTTTTCTGCAGTATCACATTCGAAACACATCACACCGGTCGCCCCGGTGGTCTAGTGGGTAGCCTCGCAGCCTGCTAAGGGCCAGGTCATGGGTTCGAGTCCCGGCAGGGAGAGTTTTTTTCTCACTAAATAAATCCTGGTCTAGGATGAAAGCGACGCGCTGCAAAGCTCGTTTGTTAGTAAACCATAATCGACTTCGTAAGTCGCGAGGGAAGGGATTGCTGTACCCTTCTCGCGATAAAAATACCTCAGGCATGAACCGCAGGAGGGGGGTCCACCCCCCCCTCCTATGTGACCCCGGTTGGGTCGTCTAGCCAGTAGAAGTGGAGGATAGGGGCCAGAGGGGCAGACGGCAGAGTCCAATGATGGGAGAGAAACAAACAAAAAAAACAAAAAAACAGCGGTACAAGTATGCATATGCATGTACACCCGCTCACCCTTCGGGGGTTTAACAACCTGGGTTTAATCATATACAAGTACTCTTACATGTGTGTCTTGTGGCTTCGCCTCTGTTACCTCATGATAGATTCCCTTCATGAGTGCGTGCGAGCGTCCAAAAACGACAAGGCGAGATCGAGGGGTACACCCGCGTCCAAGAGGACCCAAACAAATTTACCGCGTATCTCGCCCTCAGGTCTATTCTGGTTCAGAGACGCACCTATTGAGTGTCAGCTACCCTACATGGTGCTCGAAGCCATAGAGCAAGAAAACACACCTGTACGACTAAGCCTGCCACACATGAACCTACAATCTGCGCGGTACCTCGTACGGTAGGCCAATCAAGGACATTATTGAATAGGGTGCTGACCCAAATTCAAATTCTTGCCCTCCCAAAAAATAACTCCTACATNGTCGAACGCCAATATGGATAAGAGGGTTTCGTCCTCGACAGACGTTGGGGAGTTTCAACCTTTATGAAGGTGTTCTCCACACTACACCTAAAGATTATAGACTACCATATTTCCCTTCGAAATTTGAATTTCCCAAATTTGAACTTCGAGCTTGCGTTGCTTCTTCTGTAGACTTGCATGTGTATGGCTAAATAGTGTACACGCGGAGATACACTGGTGTCCATCACCAGACCCCCTCCTTACCCGCCGGCTTCTTGAGCTCAACACCAGTAGAGTGTTTTGTTTTCCCTGCGGCCGTGCTGGAGCGAGAGGTGTGTGTGCGTTCTGGTACAACCAGNAATAGTGTACACGCGGAGATACACTGGTGTCCATCACCAAACTCCCTCCTTACCCGCCGGCTTCTTGAGCTCAACACCAGTAGAGTGTTTTTGTTTTCCCTGCGGCCGTGCTGGAGCGAGAGGTATGTATGCGTTCTGGTACATCCAGAGTACCAATTGAGTCTCTCCCTCCCCAACCTTCCCCAACCTTGTGTGTTCAATCCGTACATGAGCAATGTCGCTTCCAGCATGTCGTACCGACACTCGCATGTCCGTGGTAGCAGCCGTAACATCGTGCTAGTGCCTAGTGAGGCCGCTCGTTACTTCATTCGGTGTTTCATATTTTTATTGTTGGTGANTGAGCAATGTCGCTTCCAGCATGTCGTACCGACACTCGCATGTCCGTGGTAGCAGCCGTAACATCNATACCACGTCTAGTGGAACACATAATAAGGCGATGATATTTATCTGGGGAGAAGTTTTTTATGGTTTATTGATAGGAACAGTCTATATTTTAGAGATTCTTTGCCCTGGCATGTCGCAGGATACCGGTACATGTATTGCACCACACAACGAACAAATACGCTCCCCCTGCCACCTACCCCATCACCCCCATCACCCGAGAAGCAGCACGATGATATGTGGTGACACGCCCCCCACTGAATCTCCTCCAACCTACCCAACCCACGCCGCCCCACGCTAGGACCCGAGANTTTGCCCTGGCATGTCGCAGGATACCGGTACATGTATTGCACCACACAACGAACAAACACGCCCCCCCTGCCACCTACCCCATCACCCCCATCACCCGAGAAGCAGCACGATGATATGTGGTGACACGCCCCCCACTGAATCTCCTCCAACCTACCCAACCCACGCCGCCCCACGCTAGGACCCGAGAAACCGGCTTGTCTGCAGGTCTTCCGTTCATTTACCTCGTACCTCCGCTATATCCCTTGAAGCGTCAGGCCTTTTGCGCTATCCTCGCCGTGATTTCCTGCGAAAACCTGCGTAGTGTTTTGGGATTAGTTTTTCCTGGTAGGACCGCATCACAGTTCGGTTCTGCCAGGTTGCTGTCGGTATCGAGCGGTAAATCCCCAACACCATATTGC